ATATATGTTAAAAATAAATTGAGAAAGACCAACACAAGGAAGCTACTTTTCTCGAGCTAACCCCTTAGGTACTGTTTTCCTTTCCTGTCGTTTTGCCGTTATTGCGGTGTTGCAAAACGAAGCCAACTACGACCAGAGCCGGCTGAGAGCCCCCCGGAAATCAGCTGCGCCCCAGGGGCACCCGCTGGCCGCCCCCCAAAGGCGGCGCCCACCGAACACCCCACTGTGCTTTTCCACATTGGCTTTGCCTTATTCTCCGCGGTGGCCGAGCGTCCCCACGCAGGAGCGCGAGGGCCCGGCGGGCTGCTGGACCTCTGCTTTTCCGAGTACTGAAAACCGGGGGAAATTTAAGTTGCAAGTCGCAGGCACCTGCTGTCACTTTAGGGAAAGCTTGGCTTCGAAATAAGGGGACAAAGTGTTCGGGGATCTTCTACCCGCCAATTCTCTTTTGCAGGTCATTTTTTTCCTTCCCTAGCAAGGTAAGTTGAATATAAAAGGACACTAGCGTCGCGACCGGGTGTCCATCGGGGGAGACAGACTGCGATCGAGTCCGGCTCAGAGACCCACGCAGGGCTGACGTCAAGGGCAGACCAAGACCAGACCGGGTTCAAAACAAGCCCGAAAGGGTAAAAGAAGAGGGACAGCTCTGAGCGGACCGTCACCAACAGCTTGGCATCACTGACCTTCGTGTCACCAGAAAGAAAGTGCAGCCTCTGCTTCACTGGAATGAACACGAGATGCTTCGAAATAAAACAGCAACCTTTGGTTTGGTAAAGAGTTAAGTGTTTTCCCATTCAAGACAATCTTATGTGGAATACTAACAAGGTAGTAAAACACAAGCAAACTAGCTTTAGAAACAAGGCCTTCGTGCTGGGCACAAGAAATCAAGAGTCATGTTAAACTTATCATCTCAAGAAAACAAAAGTGACTTTAGGGAGGGGCACGGGGGAAAAATCGGGAGAAGAGAAAGGGAACAGAAGGTCCCCCTGGCAGAAAAACCCACCGCGGTCTCTTACAGTGATGCCCCCGCTCCTACCGCGGCCGATCGGCTCCAAGCGCAGTGTGACTGGGGGGCGCCAGGGAGGTTCCCCCTCCCCGAGGGTCCTTTCTGCCCCTGGCATGGCCGCAGGGAGGGCGGCAAGGCCAAGCCTCCTGGAAGCTGCTGCCGCCCAGACGACCTCTGGGTGCGGGGTCAGGCGAAGAGCCGAGCAAAGTCGAAATGAGCTGCTGGGGCGAGCGTCCGAATGCAACCGCGGGGGGAGGAGGGGGTGAGGTGGGCAACTTGGGGGCATCCAGAACAAAGCCACGGCTCCAATGCCATGGATGACGGTGGAGACGGTTTCCTTTCGCTCCGCTACTGATCAGGGTATCACCGAAACCTTACAGCACTCAAAGAGTTAGAAAGCGGGGTGGGGGGAGCAAAGATGCGGGTTTTGGGAGGGAGACGGCATTAATAAAGGAGGAGGAAAAAGAAAAAAAAAAAGGGAAATAATATTCAAAAAATCATGGAAGCGAAGGCACTCCAAACTATATAGATACACTATACATCGCTAGAGTTATTGTTACAATAATACAGGCCGGTACCTACTGTACAGAGTTAAAACTATATGGCTTTAAAAAGCTCGTCTACATTTTGTCTGATTATTAAACAGAATCACTGCCCTGAACGGTAACTTTTTGCTCATTAATAACAGTTCCTGGGTCCACATATTTACATACAAAACAATAAAACTCAAAATTCAAAAACAACCAAAAATAACAATGTACAAGCTTGAATTTGGTGAGGAGCTTTTTTGTTGTTATTGGGTTTTTTTGTGTTTTTTTTTTCTTATTATTTACAAAAAAGGTTATTCAAAGACCTGGATCTAACTTGTATAAAAGAGTGTGTGATCCTGCCATGATCCTTGAAAGAAAGAAAAAGAAAACCAGAGGGGCGCCCCCGACCCTCCCCCAGCCGAACACACACACGAGACACAACAGACGCCGGCACAGTCACAGAACCAGAGAGAAAAGCTCTCAACTCCCCTCTGCCAGGCTCAAACGAAAAGGTTTGAAAAGTGAAAAAGAAGAAAAGCCACATTTCCTGGCACAGGCAGCAACTTTTCTTCGTTACATTTATTTTTTTTAAAAGACTCAGTAATTTACTGCCTTCAAAGAGCATCTGTGGCCAATGTTTCAGCAGCCTTGCCTATACAGCGGATCCATACCCCGCCAATGTCCTACTTCTTGAGTCTCCTGCATCTGTTTGGATCACTGGGTCAGCCAAGCCCCTCCACTTACCTTGCGGGACCCGGGCTGGCCGAGCGCTCGCATTAGGATGCTCTTCAGCCCTTCCTATGAAGTTGCATGTAAGGATTTGGAAAGTCGCCTCCTTCTAAACGTGGGGGTGCTTTCCCTTGCGGCCAGCCAGATTTAACAACAGCTAAAAAGCTTTAAAACCTTTTTGTTTTTTAAAACGTGTGTGCCTGACAGCAAACCGCTGAGGGGTGTAACATGAGGGTTTTTCGGTTTCACGGTAGGTGGTCGCTCACCTCTTGAAACAGCTCCTGCCTCACTGAACCCCCCCACATCAAGCGGGAGAGGGAGGGCAGGGCTTTTATCAGCTCCAGGGCTGCTAAGAGACAGCTTCCAAAAATGAAACAACCCCACGCCAACAGGATAAAAGGTACAAGAAGAAACACACCGAGCTCAGGAGCAAAACCCCTGCCGCCCCCGTGGCGGCCCAGCGCCCCCGTGGCGGCCGAGCTCGGCAAAGCCGCTACTGCCGCCTACCCCCGAGCCGCGCGCTCCCGAAAAGCAACCGCTTGCCTTAGAGATCCGCAGGTGGAGTAACAGCTCGGTAAGCACCAAAGGCGACTACGGCTCCTCTGGAGGAGGAGGGTAAGGCCGGAGGGGACGCCAACCGCACGCCTACGACAAGACCAGGTCTCCAAAAGTCGCGCTCCTGCGCCACAGCCGCTCGCCCCAGCCTTTCCCAGGAATATTGCTTTGACTTCAGGAAGAGCGACGTGGCTGCGCGCCCCATGCTGCCGTGGGGAGGAAAGCGGGCCCCTGGACAGATGGACTAGAACAGGCACCCACCTCGCGCTCCAGTCAGACTGCGTCGAGGTCATCGAGAAAATTAAACAAAAAAGCAGTACTGTATCTATGTATACATGTATATATTTATATAATATATATACACACACACTCGTATATAGCCAGCTTGCCTACAAGTCAGCAGGTACAAGTTACTGTCGAGAGCACTCGGATGTGTATTTTATTAAGATTCTACCGATGTAAAAACATAATGGCAACGTGGCAACACGCATCAATAAATAGAGATCAAAAAAAGCAAGAGGTTAAAAAAGATGAAATTAAATACAGGTTCTAGCCGTGGATTTTAAATCAGAACTATCAGAGAATATGGCATCCTGCAAGTTAAAACTGCAGCTAAAGAAGAAAGTATTACAAAATAAACCAGTAGACTGTTACAGTTCACATTATAAACCCTGGTGTCCTTTTCCTATACGCACCTGGGGAAAGGGGAAGCCTGTTCAAATTGAGGGCCTGGAGCAGGGGGGGGGAATAAAAAACAACCAAACAAAAACCCAAGCTTTCACAGTGGCCACTTTCCAAAAAGTCCCTTCGCATCCCCAGCTGGGCCCCCGCCCCCTCAGAGGATGTTTTTGTCCACTCTTCTCTGCTGAAGATGGGGGCTGACCGCTCTGCCGGCCGCTTGGCCCCGCACCGCGACTGGGGGGCAGGAGCAAAGGAGGCGTTCCGGCAAAGCGAACCGCTCACGTTGCTGCATGTGTGTGTATTATATCATATCTTACATCACCCACTCGGGCACGGCTTTTCCCATAATGAAGCTGCAGGTCTCTTCGTCGCTAGCGCTGATTTTTTAAATGCAAGGCATCCGCTAGCGGTTCACGCCTTGGACACACGGCAAGCCCTCCCCCCCACCCCATGGCACCCCGTTTTCCTACCACGTCGCCCGCTCCCCGTACCGAGGCGGGGAATTCTTCAGGCAACCCGGGATATGGATTCGCTGACAAGAAACGCTGAGCTCTGTTGAATGACCCCTGCTAAGCTCCCGACCAAATTCAAGCTGTGCACTACATTAAAGTCCGAAACTTCACTTAAAAAGAAAATAAAAAAAGAGGTTAAAAAAAAAAAGAAAAAGAACTTCAGCAGAGAATGAGGTTTGGGGTTGGTTTTGTTTTGTTTTGTTTTTCCTTCTTTCTGTCGTGGGAGAGGGCATGAGGCAAGAGTCCTGGTTCTGAAGTACACAACAGCAAACTTTCAACATGAAGAGATTGTCGAGGGGAGATCTTGGTGTGTTGTATTGCTCCGCTTTCCCTCCTCCCCCCACCTAGTCCCCTGCCCTGGACACCCTGCAGAGTGAGGATACAATGAAACTGGTTTGTATTTATAGATATTTTACAAGGTTAAATAAGAACAACAATATAATAATAAAAAATTGAACACTCAAATGAACAGGTTGGTTGGTTTGTTGGGGTTTTTTTGTTGTTTGTTTTTCTTTTCTTTTTTTTCCTCTTTTTAATTTTCTTTCCAAATGTGACCAGTGTTGCTGAGCAAGACTCAAATTACTGGTGATTTTTCCTGTGCAGCTGGCTGCTTGGTACCGGTTCAGGTGGAGTTGGAGGCTGATGCTGTAGCTACACTATTGGTCTGAACTCGTTCTCCTGCGTTAACATCTGCAAACGACAGGCGAGAGGAAGGGAAGAGAGAAAAACATCCAGTGTTACCTCCAAAATCCAGACACTTTTGGAACAGCAGCTACAACATTCTCCACACAGAGAAACCCACAACCCCCACTGAGGTGCCGCCTGGTTTGGATGCCCTACAGGGGTGCTGACGGAAAGGTTTGGGAGGGGAGGAGGTCTTTAAGCAGGACAGAGGCAACCTGAAGGGCTGAGAGTCGCACACCAACACCCAGCTGGGCTCCAGCAGGACCCACGTTACCTTCCAGGAACTCTCTGCAAGACAAGGCACAGGAGCACGGCCATAACTAATGCATCGAGTGTCCGTGGCCACCGCAAGGCTTCACGCTGGAAGTTTCACACTGCCAGGCCCTCTCGCCACAAAGGTTCATTGTGTGAACGAGCGCAGGCAATGAGCGCCACAACCCCGCGCCCCCGGCACAAGCAGCTTGTGTGTCCACATGCAATTCCTGCACTTGCTTCCTCGGAAAGCATCTTTCAAGTCTACGGCTTGTTCTGTGTTGCTCAACCCAGGTTGGATCTGCCACCCTCTGAGCTGCTGAAGCAGATTAACACGGAGGCTTCAAGCCAGCCACGAGGTTTATGCAGGCCTATAACACTCTCAGAGGATTTGGGTCGCAGCAGTAAATGGTCTTCAACACCTTCCCTTCTCTGGGAAGGGCAGTGCTCCACAGAGATGCGCCATGGCATCCTGGGCACGTGTCAAAGTGCATTCCAAGAAAACACAGGGTTTGCAAAGAAATACCAAAAGGAAATTTCACTGTAAACTATGCCACCTGAACCAGGTATTTTCTAAAAAAAAAATAAATCAAATCAAATCAAATCAAATCCTTGGAAGAGTTGGTAGGGAAAAAAAATGCACTGACATCACCTGGAACCACCGTACGTAGTATCTAATCAGAATGGTCACAAAAAGGTAAGTGGATGAATGGTTAAACACAAAATAATAAATACAGGATGGGAAAAACAGATCGAGTGACAGTTTCTACAAGAGTCGTGCATTTCTCCCACTTAATTTGAGTGAGGTTAACTGCAAAGCTATCAGTGCTGCAACAGAGGTGGGGAAGAAAAAAGCAGACAGGCTTATTATCTTGGTACAGGAGAGGGCAGACTGGGCAAACAGCGCATTCGAAAAGACAGGGGGAGAAGGGCAGATAAAAAGAAAGAACAGATATCCTGACCTCAGACTGAAGGACAGAGTGACTGGTGTGACCGGCACAAATAAGAGACAAGGCAAAATGCAGCCAGTGGGCATGGGGTGCAGTAGTGCTAGCCCAGCACAGAGAGGGTGCTGAGGCAACGCAGCTCTACCGCCACCAGCTCACAAAATGCTCTCCTCTCCTGCCACACTGACCTGGCCATGGGGGCGCAGCCATGAGCGAAGGCAGTGGAATCAGCAAGTCTGCGGATGGGTTGAGTGACAGATTAAGGAACAAACAAAAACGGGACAAACACACAACTGCACCCAGGAACACAAGGGGCAGTGAGGAGAGGATGATGCCTGTTTGAAAAGGAAACGCTGTGAGGAGTGCATGGGAAGAAAGGGACATCTTCCTGTGGGCAGAGGATGCCAGATGACTGCTCTGGAGTTCCCCATTCCCTTTCCTCTCATCCCAAATTAACTGCAACCCCTCCCTCCCAAAGGAATGACTGCCACCATGCTATAAAAAAGCTCGTGCAGTTAAAACACCACGGCAGCATGATGACAGTACCAATGTTATTTGGAAAGCCAGCCTTGCACCCGAGAGATGCCTTCCTGGGTGGAGCAATTAACCTGCAGGAGCAATTCCCAAATCCCACATGCACGCAGACCAGCAATGACCATGGAAATCAAACGTGACCCAGCCAGACAGGCAATGGTGCCCACACTTTAAACTCTGGCTGTGCCTGTTCTAGATTCATTTTCAGGTATGGATGAGGTCCAGTTAATACAACATCTACCATGCCTGATGCAAGCGCTCCAGCTGCAGCCTGTACTGTTGGCAGATGATTTCTCTGTGTGTGTACAGAAAGTGCTTCTATTTCATTTGCTGAAATGAAACGTGCCTTTTGATCGCCTATTCCTGAAGGCAGCAGAGGCCGAAATCGCTACCATTACACTGCTACTGAGCAGAGATAAAGAAAAAAAGAGGGGCTGGAGCTACTTCATGTAACATATGCTCCTTTTCTGTCATTGCTCTAATAGGGGAGCTCCTGACAAATATATAGGCCACATGTTCAAAAGGAAATAAACCAGGTGATGCAGCCCAAGAGCATTTACATGGGGCTTTTCACAACAACGTACAGAAGTTCACTCAGGCTGGGACAGCAGGCTCAAGGCTTTCCTGGCTCTGAACCTGCAAGAAAATTTTGTCTTTTGCTTGTCTTTTGACTCTGCATTGATGGGACATTTGGGGAACAAAGAGGGGCTTGTTCCAGCACCTCTTTGCTGAAGCTCCGGAAAAAGAGCACAACTGGGGTATGAGGGTCTCTGGACGTTCACTTACTCCTCCTTAGCATGAGAAATCAGTATTCAGGCATATGAGAAGAAAATCGAGGCCTTCAGCAACGTTGCTAAAACATCGGCTTTGCGAAGCAGTGCCCTGGTGGTGAGCGAAGCCAGGAGCTGACACGCAGCTGTGGTACAGGACGGATGACTACAGGGCAGTCTCTTTACCCTAAACTACTCCCACCTGACACTGCTGCCTGAGTGGGCAAAGAAACCACAGCAGGACCCAAGTGTCAGCTGCTTCCAAAACTTCTTTCAAAGAGAGGGCAAAATCTCTCTCAGCAGCATAGGGCACCTCCTCCAACTCAGCTCTTCCCTCTGAGCAATGCCTCAGCTTTCTCAGCGGGTACGTGAGAGTCCTTGGAAACCTCCCGGAAAGGAGAGATGAGGCAACAGTTCAGGGAAAAGCAGAGATGCCACCTCAGTCTGAGCAAGCCCATTAGCCCTGATGACAGCATCAGCTGGTTGGATTTGTGATGCTGACAGACTGTGCTGCTCCTCTGCAGAGATACAGGAACAGAGAATGGCATTTTCAACCCATGGCCAGCAAAGTTCAGAGAAAGCTGCTGCACAATTTCAAGCATGGACCAACAACTCCCATCTTTCCTTTGCTCCTGCTCTGATTTAGACACACATTAATGTCACAGAGAATTTCTTAGGAATGTCCAGGTGAATTTACTAACTCCAGTGCAGCAAGGCTTCACGCTCCCACTGCGAAGCCAGATGCCATTAGTACAGCGAGTCCTGCTTTACGATTCAAGAGAAGAGGAAATTTACAACAAATACATTTTAACACTCAAGAATTGCCTACAATAATTCCCCTGCATTTAAGATCATGATGCCAGGGTTACTGTTGCATTGGGCTGTTCAAATGACTACTGCGAATGTACCAGTTAACAGAAACGACTCATTTTGGGCAACTGTTAAAGATGCAAATGTGTGTCATACTGGTTAGCACAAGGGCCAGTGTCGCTGGCTTGATGACACCTGCACAGTTCATGTGGTATGTTGAAAGGCCAATCTTGCCACTAAGTCTCCTGGCAAACACCGCTTTGCCAGACTTTGGACAAACAGATCTCATTTTCCTAGTTATTTTCTAATTATGACCCTGCCTTGTATACAAAAAAGGTGCATGATACGAGGCAGTGTTTTACACCTCATCGCAAAGCTGAAATTTTGACGTGGCTGCATACCAACATGGCAGCTATGAAAAGGGAGCAACTGGAGGCAGGTACTAACAGCCCAGCTGGGTTATCTACAGCGATGACCTGGTACGCTCAGTATTGGTTCTACTTGCTAGAGGGTGACAAGAGTTACACACTAACAATGTGTAATGTAATGATGTAATGTAAGAACAGCTACATACAACTTGCTTTGCCCTTGGAATTGCCTTGAGAGCTACATTTTGTAGCATCACCACCACTCAAAAAAGCAGTTTCTGGACTTGTACTGCTTACTCACACGAGCAAACGTTTTTGCAGTAAATGCTATCAGGACGCCCTGGGCTCGGTAGGCGAGTTGCTCCCAGGCTGCTTTAGCAGTTACTGAAGAACTAAAATTTACTGCTCTGGGACGTGCAGGGGGTACAGGGAGAGAAGGGACCCCTTCTATCAAAATCTGTTGCTAAGTGCAGCATCAGCATGCAAAGCACAACAGATGAACGTAACCTCATACAGGAGCTAATCCTAAAAATCACAACCCTGGTGAAATTCCCACTGTCAGTTGTGAGAACCCCATGTGAGTAACAAGCTACAAAACAGCTGTGCTGCAGAAACCCAAAGCTGCGTGGTGCCCAATACTGAACTGAATTTCACAACTTCTTTCCAAGCTGCAAGGATACTTTCTTGGTTTCTGAACTATGGATAAGAGGTCCTATCCCAACTCAGTGCAGTGCTTGCAAACAGGAGGTTTAAAAATGTTGACATCAGTAAGGTGGGGTTGGTTTTGGGTTTTCTTTCATTCTACTTCACATTTAAGACTCAGACTAATGCATTTTCACCTCACATGAACTCTAGGAAAGTGCTGGGTGAAAACAGACTTCTTTACCCCATTAATTCCTCAAGACTTGTATCTTGCCAAAGAGAGCTCCTTAAAAGGCATAAAAGGGACATTAAGTGAAATGGTATTTTTCAAAAGGGCTTAAAATAATCTTCCATGTTTGTATTTTGTAGTTTTTTAATCACTTTTACTCCCTTATCTGCTTTTTTTCTCACTTGTTGAGCAACAGATGCACATAAAAGGGAAACAGGGAACACGACTATTTGCAAAATACTGCCAAGTGTACAAAACAAACACACTAACTTCGAAAAAAGCAATTTTGCTTTCTCCTAAATTCAAAGCATGCAAATTGTGCAGGCTGTAGCTTTTATCTACCGCTACTGCACTTTAAAAGAGAAGCCTCCTCTTTCAAACCCAAGTGTGCCCATCTCTCCTAGAGCATGAGAACTCTCGCTGTACAGCACTGGCTGCACCAAGCGCCCCAGCTCTCAGGTAACTGTCTGGCACATCAACCTGCAAACGCTTTCCTGCATGTTTCAAGAATACCTTTTTAATTAGGGCTTCTCCTGACCAGCTTACCTTCCACTGAGTAAGCGCCCTGCACCTCAAAAGGAGGTCACAGCCCTTGTCAAACGGGACTGACGTGCACGCAGGGTACGGATGGAAGCACCCCTCTTTTGCAGCCTGACTTTGGTTGCCCAAGCCCCAAGACCACTGGCCCCTGTGCTGACACAGAGGAGCTCAGAGGTACCGAATCACCACTGCCACATCCTGCAGCACCTGCGGTTTTCTCGGGGAGACTCCCAACTGGTACTATCCAGCTTTTAGGCTTTCACTGGAAACAGAATACAATATGGAGTGGGCTACAGGCCAGCAGTGAGCTTTTAAAAGGTTTCTGACTGAATCTTGAGAGCGCGCAAGAGAGGCAAAAAAGAAATTCATTCAGTGTTTGCCAAAACCCAGAAGCATCTGCCTTGTGCTGGAAGATGACACAAGCAAACTCAGCAAGAAGCAACTGCAGCGACTTAGATGAGGCAGTGAGGACACTGACTGAACTCCCTAACCAGACTTTTAAGTGCTATTGCCTTTGAGGAAAAATCCTCTCCATCCACGCTCCGCGGAGGCCACATGTACGTGTAATGCTCCAAGCCAGCATTAATATCAGACTGAGAGCTCAGAAATTCGGTTCACACCAATCCACAAGGATTGCTAAAAAACAGGGCAGATAATGATTGGGTATTTTCTAATAGTGGAAGTCTGAGCAAGAGGGACCAACAAACTAAGCACTCAAACAGTGCCTTGGGCTCAGATTTGGGTTGGTGACCACAGCTAGCACCCAAACGACCACCTACTGAGAGCAACTTTCAGGTGATGCTGGAATGAACCCTTGCTCCCCATTCCCTTCAAGCGCTGAGGCAGCTCACGGGCCCCAGCAGAGGGAAGGCGCCTGGACAGGGGGAGCACGGGTCAGGAAGGAGGGAGGGAGGCAGGCGCATGTTCTCACCTGAGGCCGCTGTAGCGTTTGTAGGGGTTGAAGCAGCTGCTTGGTTCCGGGCATGAGCAGGGATGAGGATCGAAGCCAGAGATGGGTTACTTGACAGTTCTGGAGGGGAGGTGGAACAAACAGAGTTAGCTCATCACCCACAAAGAGCCCTGCATGCATGCTGAGCAACTGGGGTTTCCCCCAAAATGACAACCTCGGCTGAAATGCATGCCCTTACAGCCAAAGGTCACGCTATGTTTTCTTCTTTGCTGACCAGCAAAAGGAAATCACAGCGATATTCGGCAAGGCAGTCTCCAGAGCAAGACTTATCAAAACTGCAAGTAGTGGTGCGAGGGAATTACTTCCTAGAGAAAGACAGCGGCCTGGAAGTTAGCAAAGAACCAGCCAAGCCTGTTCCTTATCAACAGCCTGGCAACGCTGCTTCCTGCTGCAGGATTCCCTTCGCAAACCCACTTGCAATCAGTCTCAAGGAGAAGGCTGGTAACAATGGTGCTGCTTTGGGCACTGGTTCAGCAAGTCAACAGCTGCAAAAGCTGCTCCAAGAGCTTCAGGGACGTAGTTCTTTGGCTCACTCAAGCAGCACTTTCTGAAGGACCCAAGAGCAACCTCTCACAGCAGTCTCCTTGAGTGAGGCCAAGAAGAAGTGACAACTCCTTTAAAAGCACAGGGAAGGGCAAAGGGAATTGGTCTGCTGGGTCATTTAAATAGGCAATAAAATGATGCAACCATTCTTTCTGAAAATATTAAATAAGGAAAAAATAGTCATGTCTTTTAGGCTCCAAATCTAATATAGCTTCAACGTGTATCAGAATGAGAAATAGGCATCTTACAGCCACAACTGTGGGAGGATTAAGTGCAACACATTGCCAACAAATGACAACCTTCTGGCACCCTTTCAGGAGAATCTAGTGCCTCACAGAAGGTGGGACTGAGCCGAGACAAGACAGGACCTGCTTGTTTCAGAAACAGGAGTGAGTGACTGTCTCTTCAGAAAGCAACATCCGGGGAAAAGGATGTGAACAGTCACCTCACGACTTTTGGAGCTCCAGGTCATCTTGAGGAGAAATGAGAATAGACAGCTTTTTACATAAGACCTCCAGAGAGCAAGGGCTGTACGGAAACCCGTCCAAATCACGCTACAGGTTCAGTAAGGGGGTTTTGTTCACAGTCTCCAGTAATTTGGCTCATTTTTAAGAGCCTATTGCTTTTCTTTATTGAAAGCTTTAAACTCGGGGCCTAAAGGGACAAGTAGTCTACTTGGCAATTTTCTTTTCCTCCATTAGGTTACATTGTTTCCTTACAGCTGGGAGGGCAAGATGCAGAAGACTCCCCTGCTTACAAGCCTCTTACTACAACACATTTTGAGACTGCATTTCAGCATTTACGAACACAAGCTCCAGTCTAGAACCAAACAGAAGTTGCTACATTACCTGCAACTCATCCAGTCTTTCCTGTAATACTCCATTCAGGCCAAAGCAGACCTAGCTAGTCCTTCCAGAAACCCTCAATACTCTTAGCATTTGCACAAATACTAATCCTCAAATTCATGTGGCAATAATTCAGAATTCATAATATAATTTAGAATTCGTAAGTCTCTTTAAATGGAAAAATAAAACTGAAGAAACATGAATCTTCAAGTGTCAAAGCTGAACAGCAGTGCTAAACTTATCCTTCAAGACTATCTTGGGTAGTAGCTGCTCCGTGCTAGACAACGTTGCTCCATTAGTATTTTCCCAAAGCTATTTCTCCAATCTGTTATTACTGGGAATCTGCTGTTCACCTCACTCTTTGGAAAGTTTCTATCATCCCAGCATTATTTCCTGCTCAGCACTGGCAGCAACATGGGGCTGGGACCCACACAGAAGCAGAGCTGAAATGTCAGGGGAACCAAATGACATTTGCTACCTTCTGGTGCTGAGCGGTGCTTTGAAGATGCAGCTACAGATCCCTGCATTGCTGCAGCCAAAGAACTAGCTGATCCCACAGAACAACACCCCTGCAACAGCGCTTGGACCCTATTCTCATCCCTCCCATACGTCCATCTGATGCCGCCAGAACACCTCCTCCTGCAGCACCAGCTATGGCCAGGGTACCGTGGTGTGTTGTTTTTAAGGCAAATGCAACCATTCCTCTGAAGCCACCTTAAAAACTTGCATAGAGACCAGAGTCTCTCATCCCCTCCTGTCTTGGTATAGGGTTTCTCAAATTCAGCATGCTCTGAATGTCTTGATGCTTCACTTACGAGAAGCAGGTCAATTCAGACAAGAAATAACCAAAGTAAATTGAACTCTTTAGGCTGGAGTTCAATAGCAGCTTTGCTTGGGAACTTGTCTGAACTTTTGTTCTACAGTATTTTTGCAGCTATCCTGTCTGTGAGGATGCGACACATCAATACTGAGGAAAAAGCTTGACCTGTGGTAACTGCAGCCTACAAAATTTTAAGAATCTCTGTTTTCAGTGATTTGCAACACAGTATTTGGACCAGCTGTTGAACTGTAGCCTGTTTATCTAAATCTAACTTGCAATTCAAGGTTGGGTTCATTACACTCAATACTGCTGCAAGAAGGTGCTGTGCTGAAGGCAATCCAGACAAAGTTTTCAATACCAAGATGTGAACAGAGCAGCTACCCTAATTCATTTAGGAGTGCCAGCTCCCATTCACATCAGCCGGGAGAACACTTTTGGCTTTCTCCTGATCAAATCATGCCATTTGCAGCCACTTTACATCTCCAATAAGGAACAGGAATGAAAATGCCCAGTTTCACTAGAATAGCAGATCACCTTCATTCCCCAAACACAAGTAAATGCTTGGTGCTGGCAAACAGTGCAGTGCTCTCCTTCAGTATCATTGTTTGATGTATCAACACTCCCTGAATCCCCTGGAAAAATTTAATCTTGTATCATGTTTGCTTTATAACAAAACCAAACTTTCTACGTAACTCAAGTTATTCCAGCAGTTTCTCCTCAACCTAGAAGAGTTCTGGAAGCACCACAAGTTTCATAATTTTCCTTTCTTCCCCCCTCCACATGCCCTGAGCAGAAATACTCTGTCTAAAAAAACCAACCAAACCTAGATGGCACTCAAATGGTCACACTAAGGATTTCTGGTCACACTGAAACAGTTTGCTTAGAAATGAAGGGTTTGGTTTTCTTTTTTAAAAAAAAACAACCCAAACCTTCACCATATATATTAACGGGTATACACACACCCCCTTAATTCATATTTTTTATATATATATATGTTTTTTAAAGCTCACAAGCCAGGATTATTTAGGGAAAAAACCCAACACACAAGCCCCCCACACTTTAGCAAAAAAGCAATTTGTCATTGGAATGGTTATCATGCTTCTCAATGTGTTGAATCATAGAATAATTTACAGTCTTTGGCCACTTGAGTGACGGTAACATTTGTGACCCAGCACAGTCACTGACATTACAAGAGGTTTAAGAAATGGTAGTCATTTCACAGATGGTTTGAAAATTCAGCTTCTAAAGAGAAAAAATACTTTCTGTTCCTTCTGCCTTGCAGGTCTGAGAGCCACTGAACTGCAGCTCTGTGGCCTGTGGAAATACCTCCTTGGTGAAAATAATTTTTCAAACCCCAACTAGCGTGTAACATTTGTTTAAATATTAAGAGAAACTTCCAGGCAAGCCATTAAGAACGACCAGATAAAGCTCTCTTTGGCAGATCTCGTCTCTACAATAAAGCAAGCCCCTACACGCTCCACAGCTACTGCTGGCAGCCAAAGACCATGATCTTTATCTTCCATGTACTCTCACTGCTTTTTTTTCCCTAGACTCTATCTGAAGTGCATCAATGCCCAGATCAGCAGATTCAGTATGATGCTTATGTTCTTTCTGAAAAATCAATCCAACGCATTAATGGTCAGATTTATGTTGTTATTTCTAACATGCTTTTCCCTTCAAGCCTTCTACAGCCACCCCCTTCTTCATGGGTTTCAGGCAACTGGGTAGAGCCAAATAAAACATTTAATATTGTCTGTTGAAAACAAATGCTGTTCAAAACAAAAGGATGTCTCTCATTACCTTTTAAATTACCACAGATGACTTAACATGAGCACCACCTGATTTCCAATGACCTGATCTATTTCCCAGTTGGGATTCCTGCTCTGGACCAGCCAATTTGATGGGACCTTGCCCAGGCTGAAGAGCAAGGACTGCACAGTGCCACAGGAGGTGCACTCACTTCTCATGTATCCTGAGGTCTTAAGCAGGATTGCTGATACACAAGACTCACTACTGTATATTTATTAAATACAAAGGTCTTAAAATCACTGTGTTAAGCAGCCTATTTATGCATTTTTAAAAACTCATGGTTATTTTTTGAGTTAAGCCGGTCACCTGCAAGAGAGCTTATTTGGAAATGTATTAATGACAGCCTCTGACCTGCCTTCCCTCTTTAGATGGTAAAACTGGCACCTGCCAATGACAGAAACATGCTTTTTAAATCTTAAGGAAACTGCTCCACTGGAACTGATTTCTCTTGCCATTCCCATGAGTTGCTGTGCAAGGGGAGAGCGCATCAGCTCCTCAAGATGGCAAAAGAGGAGCTTTGAATTTGCTTGAGCACTATGGTAGCTTACCCAGCAGTTTCCACACTGCCTGGGAGGACACCAGAGACACATTCTCAATATACATTCACTTTTTTCCTAAGGATTTTTAAAAAAGACTCACTATATTGCTTTCTAACTTTTTTTAAAAAATCCTTGTTTTCATGTAGCAGATAGCCCAATCTTAACATCATTAAGAAACAATTAATAATACTTTCAAAAAGAACAGAGATGAAGCCATTATTAAGATACTGGGACCAAAACTATCTTAGAGTGGGAAGAAAAGGCAATTAATGAGTACTGTACCAAGGAAGGACTTGTAACATAACTACTAAATTCATAACAATAGGTGCAGAAATCAGCACACAGGACAGTGACCTGAGGGCACAAGATATATTGTTGAACACTTTAAGGTGTTCATGCTTTGGAAATGTTTTAATATATTCAATACATTTACTTTCTGCAAGGCACCCACTCAAAGCAAGTTAAAAGTTTATTTCCAGGCATCTTAAAAGACTATTTTGGACAGCCACAAAGCTTTTTGGCCCTCTCCCCCCACCCTTTTTTTCTTTTTAACTAAAAAGGGCTCCACATGTTGAAGGAGAGGGCTCTGTTTCACATTTTGGCAGATGGGCACATCGATGCCAACTGAGCCAAAAGGTGTTTCAGAGTTTCAACAGAAAATACACACAGATCTATTCTTGCTCAAAGGGCGGGAATTGGCAGCTAATAACTTTAAAAAAATTGCTCCAAAATTAATTACTAGCATATTTGTATGCCATACTTCTCACATTCTCTGTCTTGGCAGGCAAAACTGTTCTACGGGGGATATCAGTTTTACATTTCTGACTTCTGTGGGGAAAAAAATGCATGAATGGTTTTCAAATTTGATATGAGTCTGGTTTCAAGTAAGTTAGTTGTCTATCATTTTTACAGTTTCTAAATGACTGAGTCAATGTAATGCCAGATGAACTGTACAGCACATAAAATCTGGGCATTAAAGCCCCTGCATTTATCGTTCATTCAGAACGAAAATGGGCAGCAACATCACAAACCTCCCTGCCAAACCTAATATGCATTACTCCTTGCTACGGCATTTCAGGTATGAAGGAGCAGGATCATCTCCAGAACGATAATCTCATCTCCACGGTCCACCGACTGTGATATTTCACACAAACCCATCAGCTAGGCTGCAGACACTGAACTGCAAACATAAGCCTTCTTGATGCGATCCAGCAGTACCAACTCTCAGTACCCTGCACGAAATTTGAATCAAAGGCACCAGGCATCTGAAAAATCCCATAACCCATTTCTCCAAGTCCCTTTCCTCTCTTTTTGAAATAGTTATGCAACGGCTTAATAACCTTAATAGTCCTGCTCAGAGGTTTTTACTTTTGAGGGAGTGACATTTGCATTACACTGAACATCTGTCCCAGTGCTTCTTCCTAAAGAAGGGGTCCTTCAACACTTCACAGCCTACCTTGAGTGGTGAAATTGAAGAGTGCAGGTTTCTCTCGCCCATTTGGTAACTTGACGTTTGGGTCCCGTAGTTCATCGAAGAAAGAGTGCGCGCAGGCCTCCAGGGGAGTCAGGCGGGCAGTGGGGGTGTACTCCAACAGACGGCTACATAGCGCAATTGCTTCTGGTGGAGTGCGGGGCCGGAAGACCTAAAGGAAAGAAGAAACAAAACACGCAAGGAGAAACAGGTTGTCTGGGTACGTTTCTTTTCTTTGCTGACCAGAAGCAAGTCGGAGCAATTAAACCTCTCGTTGCCCAACAAGCCGGAACAAAACTTGCGGTTTGCGCTAATCAAAGTCCTCCAGAAAGCAGGGAAAAATCGAGCTCCTGGGGTTGAGAAAGGGTTAATTGCAGCGTCTTGCACTAGAGTGAGGGTGCAATGCCAGCAAGAGACTTCATGAGAGCGCGCTCAGAAAAACAACTTGAAGGATGAGGGGGAAAACTCATTCAAAAAATCATGACAAACACACAGGTGCTACCAGCCATGCATATGGGGTGGAGTGAAGGTGGGGAAGAGGGTTCAAATGAGCAGGATTCACCGAATGTAAAAATGGAATAAGGCCCCACTATTGCTTTGGGTTGGGATTTTTTTTTGGCTAGTGAATGAAGTCTTACTAACATGGACTTTTGCAGGCAGGCAGGTCAGATTGTTGCTATGGAGGCTGCTGTTCAACTTTGGAGAACAACAAGGAAAGCACGGGTGGGGTGCAGGAAATGTCTAGCTGTATTTGCAAGTTACTCCTTCCGCGACTTTATTCTGGCAAGCCATCCCCTTAACTTTACTGAGATAATTCCTGCACATTTGGTATTTGTAAGGACAGCTGAAAACTGCGTCAAGAGCCCAACTATTTAACAGACTTTTACCTTGAGTGATTACAAAAAGTTCTTCTTCACTACAGCCTTGTTTTAACCTCTAAGAAGGGTCCTACCCACTGCTATGCACACCCCCATCCTCCCTTCTAATTACGTCAAAAGCAGACTATGAGCTAATCGTGTACGTGACCTGGATGGCCTCCCCAAGCACTCCACTCTCGCTATGTTGCAGGTTGCTATGTTGTCACGGGCTGGGGAAAAGGGCATGGGGTGGGTGCAAGTGTTAAGTTCTGATGCTAGCAATTTTGGTAAAAACGGAGCTAATCCAAAATGCTTTTGCACCACTGCAAGTGAACTGAAGCCACACAGCACCAAGGAGCAGAAAAAAAAAAATCAGTGCATAACATGCTAATTAGTCGCAGATGAGGAACCTGCACAGGCCTTCCTTAAGTAGGTTTTAAACCAAAGACATATACACTCTCTTCAACAAGAATCAAACACAAGTTCTCTGTGGACTGAAATTTTATCTGCTTGGTGCCCAGCAGGCTCAGGAGCACCCGGGGTTTGCTGCAGTGTGTGCTGTGCTAACTTGTGTGGCAGGGCATGCTGACTTTGGGAGTCCAAAAGCCAGGTACCGAAAAAGCAGAACTTATTCCTACTACAGGGCTACTGCAAAACAAACCAGACAAGTTTTCACATGAGGCTTATAATGACAAAAAGAAAGGCTTTAGCTTAACACAGCTGGCAGAGAATTTCTGCTGTCCACTGCACCCTGATCGTATGGGCACGTAGAGGGGCAGCAGAGACTGCCTGGCTCTCATGGCCTGCAGAGCTTGCACTGCTGACCGAGGATGCAAGCATTGCTCCCAAGTCATGGCCTGATCAGAACAAAACCTAAGACTCTCTCCAATAAAAAAAACAAAACCTAAACTCTTTTTTTTACCCCATGGTAAGTAGCACTAATAAGTACGTGTCTTGAGGTAAATTCACAGAAGCGAAGTCACTTGGTATTTAACATGAGGTAGAACTATCTTTGCACTGATGCTTTAATAGGCTTGATTTACCACAGCTTGAAACTGAACTACTTCACTCTTAGCTGTGTTTCTGCCTCAGGACAGCTCGCGTATCAGCTACTACACGGATTTTAAAAAGAAAAGAAACACTTTTTTTTTTCCCTTAAGGCAAAGACAACAAGCCCTTATCTTGAGCAAGTTAGTAGGGAGTCACAAATCTTCTATCTGCAAAAGGAGTACTCTTACTGTCCACTTTTAAAAATCCTCATTCTTAAGTCAGTGAAACCCTAATATCTGTGCCCTAAATCCTGCTGTGAACTGCTCAGCCTGCCTTTGGATCAGAAATTAGTTACTTGGGGGAGGCAGTTCCTGAAGACTTCCCTAACTGCTTCAAACCAGACAGGGAAAAATTCAAAAGTAAATCAGAAGGCCTCACACGGCCTCCCTCCTGCAACAAGTGGTGACTAACACATGAAGCGAGTTACAAGTCTGAGCCCATCTATCATCTTGTGTTACAACATATGCCTGACTGCTGCCTCAAGGATGTGGTTTGAACTCAAATATTCCACTTCTAGCATTTCTCTCCTTTTTTTTTTTCCAAGGCTAGGCCTAGTAATTTGAAAAAATGTTTAAGTACATACCCGTACTCCTGAGGTGAAATGTCCTGTTCCTGACGAGTCCTAAAGATGATAATGCAGTGAAATAATCCAAACAGGGGGAGTCAATCCAAAAGAGAATAGTCCAGCAAGGAAAAATATAGCCAATATTATAAGAAATCCATGGTGTGGGGGACATAGAAAATGTTTATACAATTAGAAACTTTAAACATCAGTCTCCATAGCAGCAAGTCCAACTTCACCACAGTGTATGCCAAAAAATTGATTGTGCAATGGTGAGGCATAGTATAGAAACATTTTTATATTAAATTTATGTTCCAATGCCAGTGCATTTACTAAAAAAATAAAAAAAATCGAAATCAAAACTCTAACTCGAACTAAAAGGGTAATTGAAATTCCCATCATAAAGAATTTTCAGTCCTTGGTCCTGGATATAAATGTCAATGGGGCCAGATTAGTTTGTCCCCGAAGTTGCATCCCACTTGTAAATCTGTCCCAGAGACACAATGTTAACTTTCGGGCAGTTTTGGGCTTTTTCCCCCAAAAGCCAAATCCCTAGCAATTTATAATTTGTGCTGAAGAGAACGTAAAAATCCGAAATCTGTACTTTGAATTTGGATGCTTTTAATTTGCGTGAGCTACGAGTGCCTCAGGCCGCCGCGGATTATTCTTCATTTTGGATTGACTTCCCCTGCCACTGGATTTTGTTTGCCGGTTTTCTCTCTTTAGGATTCTTCAGGAACTGGATGTGCCACCTCAGGAGTGCGGGTATGGACTGAATTTCTCTCTACTGCGGGTTTATTCCCCCTCATACCCGTCGCACCCATTACTTACAAAATTTTCCCCCCCCTCAATTTGTCCCCTCCCGCCTCCCTTTGGAATATAATGCCCTAAGAAATAAAAGCGAACCCCCCCTGTGCTGTTTTAGCTCTTCCCGCTCCACACAGTTCCACCAGGAAAGCTGCCCAATTCGCCCACCGAGAACTACATGAGCGGCTGCCGCCTGCGGCAATGGGTACCCCAGCACTTCCATGCCACGGGGCGCCGATGCCGAGGCAATGCCGGGCCGGCACTCTGTGGCGGGAAGGGGCGGGAGGACGGACCAACGGCGGGACCTGGGGGCCGCGAAGCCCCTTGCGTGTACAGCCCAGCGGGAGTTCAAGGTCTCTGTAGTTCTCAGTGAGGGAATCGGTTCAGTGAAATAATCCGCGGATTATTTTTAGTCTGCGGACTAAAATTTAGTGCACGGACTAAAATCCGGCCCATCGGAGCAAAGTCTGTCTCGGTCTAGAGTACATCTGGGTGAAAGCAAAAGAAAAACAAAATTAAAAAAAATAAAATAAAAAGAAAGGAAAAAGGAGAAAGGAAAAAAAGGAAAAAGGCTAAGAGCACAAAGTGTCTGGGCGGACTAACATTTAGTATGCACACTAAATATGGCCGGGCAAAAGGCACAGCAAGTCCACAAACAAAAAACAAAAATAAAACACTGACAGGAACTTTTAAAGCAATCAAATACTACCCCACCGGCGCAGCAATTCATTTTTCTAAAATGAAACAAGACCTTGTGTAAGGCTATTTGTCCACAGGAGGGACCGAAGGCTCAAGTTTTCATTTTAAAAAATGAACCTGTTTTGGAGATAAACAAATGCAAAAAAAAGGCTTTACATACAATATTCTTCAAGGAAAATTTGCACTTGCATAACTCAAAACCTCTTGTTTCTGCAAAGCAAATGAATTTCAGGCTGAGACCCAGGTCCCTGGTTTTTTGTTTCGTTGGGGTTTTTTTGGATGAGCTACTAAAAATCTCTGAATGATCATGTCAAATGGAAATGCCGACTCATCCAAAGCCACAGCTTTTCGTGCTTTTGTTTGTTGGTTTTGTTTTTTCCCCCCACCCTTCAGACCCCAATAAATCTATACCTCACCAAAAAGCTGAGGGACCAGTGCAAGTTGGTTCTTTGTTTAGGCATGCTGGTGATGCTCAAACGCTGACAGACCGTAACAGCTACACAGCAAGGCCAGACACACTCCTCTCTCCTTTCTAAGATACATTGCTATTGATGCAAATTTTACGTCACTTCCCCTCCGTTTTTCTGGTACTACCACCTTCCTCGACATCTCAAAGACAACTGCCAGGCTTAAACACCCCTGGTGCACTATGCAGCTCTCATCCCCATGCAGCTTCAATTTTGATGTAGGCTTTGTGCACTAGCAGAGCGGTCACATTTTATCTTACTGATCCGAAACCAGCATAGTGGAGTTCACACTCCTTTTGAATTTTACTGCATTTTTTTAGCACGCATGGAAAAACGAAAGAAAAAGGACGGGAAGCACAGGATTCTCCTATTTCACTTCACTTGCATCAGCATTCAGCTCTCAAATAAAACCGCATGGGGCAAGAGCTAAGTATTGTTTCAACAGAATGGCTGCTCTGACTTTCACTTCATTGACATTCTTCAAACAGACTTTCCATGCACAACACGAAGCTCCGTCGCCCGGGTCTAATTAAGCCCCAAAGCCAAAGCTCCCCAATGTTACACCAAGGTGCTCTTCTCTGCTAGCCGGTGCTCATCAAAAGACGTGACTTCATGCCATCCACCGCTGTGCGCTTTGCATGCAGACTGTGAACACTGCTCGCATGCTGTGCTCCCCAAGAGAGCAGAGGCTTATGAAAATGACATCTGTTGCTAACGCATCAAGTTGGTG